ACGTTGCATCCATTGGACCTTTCGCAAGCAACAAGCTGTACACATCCATCAGAGTGTGTTTCATCTCGTTCCCCTCGCGCATACGTTGCGTGTTTCTGTGTGTCTTTCCACAATTCGCCATGTAACTCGATATCATTGCGATCAGCAGTCGTACATTCCGCGTCGCCGAAAAGGACGAATCCCACACCTCGTTGAGAAGGTCGAATAAGGTGATGAATGACGACTCTGTGTAGTTGTCGTCAGTATCCGGCACTAAGATCTCCGCGAACCCATCATCATCATCTAGCAGTTGTGTTTCCTGTTCGTAATGCATACGAATTAAAACTTGTACAACAAACTGGATACTAGGTCTTACATCGCCGCTACGAACCTGTACGTTGGACATGATGCTCGGTTGATCCCGATCGATATACGATGCGACCAACGCCCGCTCGCTCGCGCGTTTATTCACTTCTTCGACGCCCGTGAGACTCTTGCTATTACGTAGATGGCAGTCTGTCTGTTTGTCTGTTTGTTTGTCTGTCTGTCTAATATGATAAAATAGTTACTCATCGCCTCAAGTTTACCGATTTGTAGGCGGTTACGCAATATCCTTGCAATTAGTCGTACGTCTGCGGTCAATTATCGTCTCCCAAACATCCGTCGAGGTGAACGGTAGAGATTTATTGTCAGGCATACTACATGTATTAACTATTAGGAGTATTATTCATCGCCGCACCTTTTCCGGATTTAGTAGGTTATATCCATACGTTTTTTTACGTAATATTCTGGCGATTAGTCGTAGGTCTACGGTCAATTATCGCCCCCCAAACATCCGTCGATGTGAACGGTAGAGATTTATTGTCAGGCATACTACATGTATTAGCTATTAGGAGTCTTATTCGTCGCCGCACCTTTTCCGGATTTGTAGGTCATATCGATACGTTTTACGCAATATCCTGGCGATTAGTCGTCCGTCTGCGGTCAGCTATCGCCCCAAACATCTCTCTCGATTGGAACGGATCAGAGTTATTATTGTCAGGCATACGAGATTTATGCTGTCGATTTGCATATCGGTACGCCTCCGCTCTGTCTACAACGCACAAGTCGCCCGTCGCACCCATTGTCCCGATTCGATACATTTACGCAATATCCGTGCGATGAGTCGTCCGTCGCACATCTTGAGTCGAACGGTATAAATTCATTGTTAGGTGCGCGAGATTTCGTGTAAGACTTTTCTCGCTTGCGACATTGCACACATAAACACATTTCATGGAGCAACTGTATGGTTTGATGGTGATGACTGACACCATTCGCCGTGAAATGAATGAATTCGCGAAAACATTGGAGACTCTAGCGGCGATCGTGCGAAATATGTATACGGATCTGGACAACCTGAAGAAGAGTCTTCCATCGTTTGTAACGATGAACGTTCATTTGCACGTGCATGAGAGATCGATAGGTACATTGTAAGTATATAGGATTGTAAGGTACATGTCACATACATACATACATATACATACAAAGTGTGCAAATTAGAAATTTGCACATGGCTTCCTCATAGAGGAAGGTTTAGGAGCGAAATCTAATTTTTTTCGATGTTTCTTGAAAGTGTGCAAATTAGAAATTTGCATAA